ATAAATAGAAATTAAACAGATAATAATTTCAAAGAAGCTCAAACTTCCACTTTTACTCCTACTGGATTTTATTCTGTAACAGTTGGAATCACATGCAACTTATCTATAGAAAATATCTATAGAAACTTATTCTATAGAAAATAAATTAAAATAGGAAAATGAAATTGTGTGTGTGTGTGTGTGTGTGTGTGTGTGTGTGTTAATGTGCATGTGGTAGTGGGGATTAGACCCAGGACACACAAATGATAGGCAAGCACTTTACCAGTAAACTAAATTCTCAGCTTTTTTTTATTTTGGAACAGGCTCTGGCTAAATTGACAGGCTGGCCTCAAATTTGAGGTCTTCATGCTTCAGCCTCCCAAGCAGCTGAGATTACAGGCATGTACTATGGCACCAGCTAACATGACTTCATAATTTTTATATTAACTGAAAATAACCACATTTGGCTGTGAAATTAGAGAAAAAAAGTATAAGCAATCTACTATGTTCCATTGGGCAGCCAACATGAAAATGTTCTGGGTTGCTCACTTAAAATACAAGTTTCTGGGTTCTACTTTAGATCTACTGAATCATCCCAAACTCTACAAGTAAGACCCAGAAGAGGTTTTCGTTGTACGTGTATCTGGGCACCTATTTGGCAGCGTATGTGCTGCCAACACGAGCACAAGTAGACATTTCAAAGAACTTCCTGGATGAAACACACGTGTTGACTTCTTTTAAAATGAAATACATAACCTTCATAGAAAAATTAGTCCTTACATACTGCAGAATTAAAAGCAAAATTCTTTTACATTTTTTCTTTTACATTTTATCTCAGAGAGGAATAAGCCCCTGGCATAAATCCCTCAGCGGAAGCATCCTACTTTATCTGTGAATCACTCTGTGAAATATACACAGTAGTCCACTCAGAATTAGCACATCGGAACACACACTGTGAGGACAAGTGAGTGGATGGAAAATAATCTCATTACCTCCACTTTTTTCACTTATATTTCTGATTTAAAATTTTACTAGCACTTTTCAGTAAGACCAGATAGCACTAATTCCTTCTGAAATAATAACTGAATTATTAATTAAGATAATTCAACAAATGGAAAACATTTATTTTCCAATTAGAGAGGTACCTTACAAAGGTGAGTTAAGACATAAAGAAGAACACCTTAAAGCCGATCGCAATCTACCTCCACCATGTCATGCTAAAACACAGAGACTATCAATGTTTTGTTACATTTCCTGCACAGGTTGGGGCTCCAGAGTAACAACTATGTGAAGGCAAAGGTGGACTATGGATTATACTGCTCTCATAGTGTAACATTACTTATTTAGTAAAGAAAACGTACTAGGGAAATTACTTATTGGATAATACTATAAACATATGTTAAAGGAATCTAAATATGCATTCGATACTCCATGGATTCCAAGAGATAGATTATCAGTGTGATTTTGGGTATTTTTTTTCAAAATTTTATTGATAAACAGATAGCAATGAGACAGTTTCAAATGAAATCGGAAGTACAGATTCAACAAATAACACACTGCATATATTCTTCTTGGTGGTTAATTGCTGTACAAGATGCGGACTTGAGATCCTGTTTACAAACACCATTAGAACAAATCATTCTATTCATTAAGAGAATGCAACTATATATGTATCCTAAGCACCTTGAATACACAGATACAAAATGGACATTCATCTGTATACCCTATTTTTTCTAAGTTCCGTT